AGAGGCATTTCGAAGGTCCCCTCTCAGCCTTCTCTTCTCCAGGCTGAACAAGCCCAGCTCCCTCAGCCTCTCCTCATAACAGAGATGCTCCAGTCCCCTCCTCATCCTCGTAGCCCTCCGCTGGACTCTCTCCAGTAGCTCCTCACCTTTCTTGAACTGGGGAGCCCAGAACTGGACACAGTACTCCAGATGGGGCCTCAGCAGGGCAGAGCAGAGGGGGAGGAGAACCTCCCTCGCCCTGCTGCCCACACTCCTCTGCATGCACCCCAGGATCCTGCTCCAACTCAACCTGGCGCTGGGCAGGGCTGCCCATGGGAACTGCAGTGCTGAAGTCAGCGCTGACACCGGTTTTGTGGGTTCGGTGTGAGATACCTCCCGGCTGGGGCACCCACAGGTGCTGCCTCAGGCCTCTTCCACACCCACCCCACCCAGCAGAAAAGAACAGCCCTGGCTGGAAAGCACCCAGGTGAAGACAACTTGCTTCACAGAAGGAAGCCCGAGCATGGCAGCACACACACATTCACCCAGGCGACTCCAAGCTGAGAAACCAACACTCCTCTGTTCGAAACAAAAGGCAGGAGCAGCTGCTGAGCACAGCAAGAAAAACGAGGCAAAAAGCGGAAAAATGAGATCCCCTGCAGTAACTGACTTTTACATCCCAACTCTGCTTCGTCTGCTGCAGGCTCCGAGGTGCTCACGCAGCTCACACCAAGGCAGGCGAGAACGCTGCATTTCGGTTGCGTTAACGGCGAGGGCACAGGGCTGCTCGTAGCCCTCCAGTGCCAGCCAGAACCTCCCCCTGAAGGGCAAATTGTCTGAAAATTGCCCGGGGGAAAAAAAAAAAAAAAAAAATCCAATGCAGAGAGCGCAGCAAAGGCTGGGTTCCACCCTCCTCCCCACGAGACATTTCTTCCATTAGCTTCAGCCACTTCCAGCCAAGTGCAGTTTCCATACGAAAATTAATATACTGGCTTACGGGAAGACAAGCTGAGCCTGTCTATGTTTCACTTAAAACCAACATATTATCCGGTAAGAGTAGGGACACAAGAGGCCCAGCTAAAGACATCGATTTAGCAGGGACTGTGTGTCGTAGCACGAGGTACCAGCTACCAATTAGGGACAGTAAAGGAAGGGAGCGAGCACCTTATTTAATGTGAAACAGAACAATTTTTAAGGAGGCAGAAGAGCAAAGAACACAAATGGCTTGGAGCCGAACACCGAGCAGAGTCTTCTGGGGCTCCAGGGATGGGAGCAAAGGACTGGATTCACTCCACACCTAGCAGACCCTTGGCAGGTAACTGTTCTTTGTCACTCCACACCAGCACTATGCTCACTGATGTCACCCAGAAGTTGAGTGTCTGCATTTTTCTGTGGGACAATACCAGGCTCGCTTCAAAGTCCCCTACCCACAGACTAAGGGCAGAAGCAAATCATAACAGTCTTCAAAAGAGCACAGTAAAGAGTTAAATATTCTAGAGAAAGGGATGCAGCAAGGAGAATTTTCTCAAGCTGTTCCAGCTTGTGCACATGGTGAGAAAGTTTGACCAGA